AGGCATTGCACAACACAGGTGCATTTACCTACATGCAGGCATAACACTCATACACATACAATAAAAATAATAAGTAAAATATTTAAAAAAAAAAAAAAAAGAAAGAGGGCTGGGCATGGTGGCTCATGCCTTTAATCCCAGCACTCGGGAGGTAGAAGCAGGCGGATCTCTGTGAGTTCAAGGCCAGCCTGGTCTGCATAGCAAGTTCCAGGACAGCTGGGGCTACAGGGAGACCCTGTCTCAAAAAGACGGAAAAATAAATAAATAACCTAAGCAGAGATGGAGATGGCCCAGTGGTTAAGAGCACTGGCTTCTGTGCAGAGGATCCAGGTTTGATTCCCAGCACCCGTATAGTGGCTAACAACTGTCTGTAATTCCAATTCCGGGGGATCCAATGCCCTCTTCTTGCCTCCACAGGCACTGCATGACATGGGTACACTCACACACATGCAGGCAATACACGCATACACATAAAATAAAAACAGTAAATTTAAAAAAATTTTATTATTTTTATTTTACGTGTATTGCCTGCATGTAGGTAAGTGCATCTGCCATGAAAAATGCCCATGGAGGCCAGAAGAGGCTGTCAGATCTCCCAGAACTGGAGTTACAGTAAGCTGCCATGTGGATTCTGAGATTCGAGCCCAGATCCTCTGCAAGAACAGTGTTCTTAACCACTGAGCCATCTCAAATATTTTTTAAAAATAACCTAAGCATTTTCACTGAACACAATGTTATTAAAGAATTTAAACTGTTTGCTGAAGTTTATTCCAATGCTTAAAGAATTAAGACTGATCCAGGAGTTGGAGAAATGGATCAGTCAATAAAGTGCCTGCTATACAAGCATGAGGATGTGAATGTGGAGCCCCAGGCCTCACAGAAAAAGTCAGATGTGTACTGCGTGACTGTAACCTCAGAGCTAGTGGAAATGGAGACAGGAAGATTCCTGAGGCTTACTGCTAGCCAAATTGCTAACTTACCACGGCTCCACATTCAGTGAGAGACTATCTCAAAAAGTAAGGAGAGCAATCGAGGAGAACATACCCAACATCAACCTCTGTCCAACAATACATGCATACAGACACACAGAGACAGACAGACAGACAGACGGATGGGCGGGGACACACACACACACGCACAGAGACTGATCCAAAAATGGCAGGCAAGAGCTAGGGCTATAAGTCAGTGGTAGAACACTTGCCCTGGTATGTGTCAAGTCATAGGCTCGATGTCCAGTACTGACAGGAAGAAAAAAAGAATGAAACCAACCCAAAATGGCAGGCAATGTGAGAATACTGAGCTAAAAATATATGATGGCACAAAAAGCATTTTCCTTATCATTAAAAAGGAAATTAAAGGGCTGGAGAGATGACTCAGCAGTTCAGAGTACTGACTGGTCTTGCAGAGGACCTGGGTTCGATTCCCAACACCCACATGGCAGCTGACAACTGTCCGAAACTCCAGTTCCAGGGGATCCAATGCCCTCTTCCGACCTCCTTGAGCACTGCACAACACAGGTGCACTTACATGCATGCAAGCAATACATTCATACACATAAAAATAAGAAAAAATAAGAAAAATAAATAAATAAAAAGGAAATTAAAAGCTGGTGAGATGGCTCAGCTAGCTAAGGCACTTGCCTCCAAGTCTGACAACATAAATCCTGGGAACCAAAAAGTGAAAAGAGAACCCACTCCTGAAAGTTGTCCTGGCTTCTGGACACACAACACAGCACACACACAAAAATAAATTAATTAATTTTAAGTAAATTCAGCCAGGTGCGGTGGTGAACGCCTTTAATTACAGCACTTAGGAGGCAGAGGCAGGTGGAGCTCTGTGAGTTCAAGGCCAGCCTGGTCTACATAGAGAGTTCTAGGTCAGCTGGGGCTACAGGGAGACCCTGTCTCAAAAAGACAAAAAAAAAAACTTTTTTTTTAGAGTAAATTCAAGCCAGATGTGGCTTGCAGTAATCCCATCACCTGAAGTAGGAGGATCAACAATTGGTCAAGGTCATCCTTAACTAGGCCTACGTGGGACAAGACCGTTTGGACCTACAATCTCCCAAAGGAAATTCAAAAAATAATATTTAGAAATATCATTAGTCAAGAGCTTATAACTAAAAGAAATCACAACTCAAGACTTACTCTATAAACCCAAATCCAAACCTCTTACCTACTAGTTTCTATAAAAAAACAAAGCACATTCAGTATGCTTACATAGTGCCTTAGAAGAAAGGTGAAGGAAAGAGATGATGTTCTTTGGAAGAGCTGACTGAAAAGGGCTCTACAAATAATAAACCCAGCAATCCCAGTACTCAGAAGACCAAGGCAAAAGGATCACCACAGGTTAGAGGACAGCATGATCCACCTAGTGAGTACCAGGGCAGCCTACACAGTTAAAATCTATCTCAACACTTTCCTTCCCAAAAGGCTACAAAAATAAATGGTTTTGTTTATTTAAGGAAAAATTTACAAGCTTTTTGGAATATTAAGATATTGGATGTAGGGGCTGGAGAGATGGCTCAGCAGTTAAGAACACTGGTTGTTCTTACAGAAGACCCGGGTTTGAATCCCAGCACCCACATGGCAGCTAACAACCGTCTGTAACTCCAGTCCCAGGGGATTTGACAGCCTCTTCTGACCTCCACGGGCATTGCACAACACGGGTACACTTACCTACATTCAGGCAATACACGCATACACACAAAATAAAAATGAATAAATAAATTTTAAAAAAAGATATTGGCTGTAGAACACAATATTAATACAGGCTTAAATAATTTCAAACAAAGAAATATCTCCAAGAACTTTGGTAAATTAGTGTTAACCTCACAGTAGTACTACATTTTCCCACACAGCCATTACTCTGTAAGCAGAATGTGAAAATGTTTTAAGGAAAACAACAAATTTTCCCAAAAGGCACAAATAATTTTTGCTCTCTTTACAAACTATGCCTCACTAAACTCTTCAACTACTTAAGCCCAGATATACCCTTATCCACAGGGTATACATTTCAAGCTGTCTAGTGGCTGACTAAAACTTTGTATGGTACTAAACTCTATTAAACTGTTTTTTCTTATACACATACATTACAGTAAAAGGTAATAAAGATAACTTACATAGAGCCTATCATCCTCAGTGTATGATTCCCCCACTTCCTTTATGAAGTAGAGAACCAAATCATCACTTATGGGTTCTCTTTAGCACATCCCAATTGCTCATCTCACTATTCATGTACTTTGGGGCCTAAGATCTGATTTTCTAAGTGACTAAAAGACAGACAGTATATAACGTGGATATGCTGAATAAAGGGAGTTTACATCTTGGGATGAAGAAACAGTGTGAGATTTCATCAAAAACACTATTCATGATGGCACAGTATTTAAAAAATATCTATTGTTCAAATCCCAGCGCTCAGGAGGCAGAGGCAGGCAGATCTATGTGAGATCAAGGCCAGCCTGGCCTACATAGTGAGTTCCAGGCCAGTTGGGGCTACAGGAAGACTCTGTCTCAAAAGGACCAAAAACAACAACAGCAACAAAAATTTATGTATGTGTGTGCGTATGAATATTTCATTCTGAAAACTTTTATTTCATATTTTCAAACCACAGTTAACTGAGGGTAAATGAAATAGTAGAAAGCAAACTTGCAGGTCAGAGGGATACTACTGCATGAGGGAAACAGAAGGTAGAAATTTTCGGACACATGGATGCACCCTTGGGGTAGTATTTATTCATATATGCAAGCCATTTCCTATAATTAAATATTATGACCTAAAGAAGATATAACTTATCTCTTCATAATTTTAATTTACATTTTCTGTACTTAATTCTAAATTAGAAAAACAGAAATCTAAGCAATTTCTACCACAATCACACATTCCTAAATGTAACACTCAAATAAGCAGAGACAAGGTCAGCTGGGAACACAGGCTTCAGTTCTCCACAGGTGTCTCACGCATTTCAAAACAATGAAAATATGTGGCACATACTCAGCAAAACAGATGAAAACACTGACACTTCATTCACAATTATAGTTTCCCTAAACTTTATTATAAAGCTTGCCTCAAACACAGCATGTGTTTTACTAAGTATGGATTTGAAGATGGCTGTAAATTTAGCTATTCAAAGCAGGAATAAAAAGATTAAGTCAAGCTATATTACTGCACTAATTTGCTATACTAAAATTGGCTTGTAGCCAGTTGTGTGTGCACTTAATAAAAACCTTATGATACTAAGAACTAAGAGTTTAAAAGCAAGAATCAAAAACTGAGAATTTTATGACAATAGCCCTCGATCCTGGTATGTTTGAGTATCACGTATTTATACAGCCAACGAAAATTTTTTATACTAGGTGCTGGTGACAAAAAGGGAAATACACATGATTTCAAAACAAAAACAAACTAAAATTTCTTGTGATTCAAACCCCACACCCTTAGATTAAAAGTTGTAATGCCATCACTAACAGGCTGAAGGCAGTATTTCCTGCTAAAGATAAAGTGACCCAAGAAAAGGAACCGAATACCACCTTGAGCCTCTGAAACTGCTGCTGTCCCTGCACTGGTGCAACTGGTGGGGCTGGATGGGCATGACTCTGGACCACTTGGCCTCCATGAGGCTGGACAGCTGTTGGGTGGTGGTGGCTGCTATGAACGGCTGCTATGGTGGGCCCATGACTGCCAGAGCTTTGTGGCACAGCTGAAACCTAGGGTGGACAAAATACAGAGAAATTTTAAAGCTTGTTCATTCTTCCCCAAATGCATCTACAGAAATAACACAAATGCACAAAGCATGCCTGTGTATCTCTGCATGGACAAAGATAATTAGAAACCAAACTGACCCAGAAAAAGAGAACTAGTAAATTATAGACCACCTACATTTAACAGAACGTTTTACAGATATTTAAAAAAATCACACAGCTTAATAATGCTTAAACTATTTGTGGTAAAACTTGAATTTTTCTTTGTCTTTATTTCTTTTACAGATCAAACCCAGGCTTCATGTAGAGTAAGCACTCTACTGATGAAACCAGGCCCCAGCTTTTCTTTTTCTTAAATTCCAATCTGTCACAGGCTACTATTTTTACAAAATGCCATAAAAATGGATTACTATTAGAAAGGTGAGATGAAAAATACATAAAGCTATAATTACTAGATTTTTCTAGATATAAAATTAAGATATATTTGCTAAAAAGTCTCCAGTTGAGTATGGTAGGCTATATGTGACTCTATTATTTCGCCAGGCTCTGGAGACTGAGGCAGGATGATGGCACGTTTGAAATCAGCTTAGACTACAGTGAGACCCTACCTCAAAGAGCAAAATTTCTAATGCTTTTAATTTCTATATTTATTTCATTAGAGGCTAGCATCAAAGCATATGGATTAACCATTTGTAGCTCAAACATTTGTAGACTACACTTTAAATAAAAGTACTAATACAGATACATGTCTTTTGTTTTGAATTTACTATTACTGTGTGTGTGCATATGCCACAGTGCTTGTGTGGAGGTCAGAGGACAACTATGTGGAGTTCATTTTCTCTTTCTATATTAATGTGGGTTCTGGCAATAGAACCCATGCCACCAGGTCTATGTGGCAAGCACTTTTACCCACTGAACCATCTCACTAGCCCTAAGATGCATAACTTTTTACATTAAAAGATTTTTAAGACCTAGAAAACCTGCTACCTTGACTAAGTATTACAGTTAACGCACTGCATAGTTACATTTCTGCCAAAAATGGACCACTTATAGAATGGTGGTCCTATGCAACTGATCACATAGTGAGATAGTAGCCATCATACTATCTTAGCACAACTCACTGTGTGTTGGGGTGACTGTGATGTATTTTCCACAACTGGCAGCTGTGCAGTAAATGTAACACACTTACGTGTGGAATATCAAATATTACATTTAGTATTTGATAATGACAATAAATATTGGTATTACTGGTTTATGTATGTACTATACAACATGTATTTCATGGTCACATTAAGAGTGTATTCCTACATTATCTTTTGAAAAAATGTACTACAAAACAATGTGACATGTTATACTGGTAGAAACCACATACACCCATGTTTACCTCATCTCTATATTGAATAAGTAGGTTATTTCAAGGGATTGGTCTGTACCACCTGGGCTTTAAAGTATATTCTACATTCACATAATGACACAATCAGCTAACACTGCACTCCTTAGAACATGTTCTGTTAAGTGAGGTTATGATTACACTTCTAAAGTATTTCTTTGATATTCTATTTCTCAATCTTTTTCTTGTCCTCTTACAAAGTTAAGGGGTGAACTAAAAGCACAAGAGCCTTTTCTTCCATTTCTATTACAAAATAAGGCTACATAAAATTTCCAAAGCACTTCTGGTTTCCTATCTCGAAACTGCTAAAGCCAGGAGTGGGAGCTCATGCCTGTAATCTGAGCACTCAAGAGGCTAAAACAAGGAGGGCTGCTCCAAGTTTGAGATATACATAGACTATATAGTGAGTTCCAGACCAACCTGGGCCACAAAAGGAGACTGTCTCAAAAAAATAAAAATAAGTAGCCAGGTATGGTGGCATACCACTCTAATCTTAGCACTCTGTAGGCAGAAGTGGGCAGATTTCTTTCTTTAAAAAATATTTTATTTATTATTTTTATTTTATGTATATGCTTGTATTGCCTGCATGTAGGTAAGCGCACCTGTGTCATACAATGCCCACAGAGGTCAGAAGAGGCTGTCAGATCCCCTGGGATTGGAATTACGGACAGTTGTTAGCTGCCATGTGAGTGCTGGGATTCAAACCCGGGTCTTCTACAAGAACACCAGTGTTCTTAACCACTGAGCCATCTCTCCAGCCCCATGGGCAGATTTCTTTAAGCTATGTGACAATATGGTGTACACTCAGTGAGTCCAGGCCAGCCAGAGGGATACAGTGAGACCCTGTCTCAAAAAAAAGGGTTAGAAACCACTTTGAGCTAAAAAAAAAAAAAAAAAAAATTTAAGTTGGGGGGCTCGGGGGCACACACCTTTGCTTCCAGTACTTGGGAGGCAGAGCCAAGCAGATCTCTGTGAGTTCAAGGGCAGCCTGGTCTACATAGTGAGTTCCAAGCCAGGTAGGGCGTAGGGCAAATGCTGTCTCAAAAAAGAGCCCCCCCCCAAGTAAATCAAAGAATAAATGCTTCCATTTACATAAAGGTACAAAAATATCCAAACTAAACAGTTATGTTAATGTGACATAAAAATGGTTAAAACAAAGAAGGGCTGGGGCGGGGGGTACAGTCAGTGGTAGAGCTTTTACCTAGCATGCACAAGGTCTTGGGTTCAATCTCAACCAACATAAACAAAACAAGTGAGATAAGGTGGCACCAGCCTGTAATCACAGAACTGGGAAGCTAAGGCAGAAGGACAAAGAGTTCAAAGCCAGCCTGGGCTACATAATGAGCCCCTTTGAGAGAGGGGGCTGGGGGGAGGAACAGGCAGGAGAGGGAATGTTGATGGCTGCCTCTGCAAGAAGGTGGTGACATGGGGGTTTTATTATTATTATTTTAAACTTAAGTTGTGGCTCAGATACAAGCACATGTGTAATTTTTATGTGAAGCTCTTCATATCTAGTTCTGTTCTGAATGAAAATCGCTTTTACTAAATGGAGCCCTCTCCTCACTCTTACTCCCTCAGCTGGCTCCAGCTTACCTGGTAGCTGGGTGTCACTGAGTACTGAATTCCTGTTGCTGACTGCATGGTCTCAGAAACTGCTTCATATACAGGAGGGGCAGGGGCAAGTACCCGGTGCTGGTGAGGAAAAGCCTCTGTGCTACCAGGAATCCTTCGCTGCTGGGCCGCGTACACCGGTGACTCCTGGTCATCCAAACGTCGCTTCATTCTGCACTCATGCTCAGGGTTGCACTACAAAACCTACAGAAACCAAAAGCAATGACGGACATAAATATTCACTCTAGGATGATATGTACAACTTAGGACCAATTGCCCAAGTTTAAAGTTAGCTTGACTCCTAGAACCAATCTATTTCATCTTAGAGATTATTACTGAGTAGCTCACATACCTCCTCACAGTGAACAAGTTTTAACTGAAAAACAAGTTTAAGCAACAACTGTTTTAATAAATTTAGTGCCATTAAATTGGAAAAATAGCCTCCTATTCAAAAATGCAAGCACACCTTATATGCTAACATGCTACTAACATGCTTAACTACTCTCAAAACTTAGTACTAGCTAGAGAAATAGCACAGTGGTAAAGTGCTTGCATAGCATTAGTTGGGTCATGCTTTAGTATCAACTGTCACAACAATTGAAAAAATGAGGTCGAGAGTATGAGGACAGAGGTTCTGGATCTGTCCATTTAAAAAGCAACGTACATTTTAATGACTCATTTCATGTAATTTTCAGTTCCTCAAACTAAAAAATAAAACTACAACAGATGACTTCTAAGTCTTCTTCTGGCCCTAACATCCTTTACATACAAGAGATTTCTTCAGCTTAAAACCTTTGCAGGGGACATTTTCTTCAAATAGTACACAAAAAGTCTAACTGCACTTTGCCCAGGAAGTCACTTGATTATTTTCTACACAACTGCAATTGTCCTCTGACCTTCACATGAGCCACTGTGAACATGCATGAGCAGGCAAACAAATAATAAACGAAGTAAAACAGACTGGAGAAATGGCTCAGTGGTTAAGAGTGTTCGCTGTTCAATCATGATGACCAAAGTTTGGATCCTAGCAACCATATCAGATGGCTCACAACTACCTGTAACTCCAATTCCAGGGAATCTGATACCTCTGACCTCTGCAGACACCAGCACTTACATGCACATACCCATACAGACACAAATTTAAAAATAAAATAAAAAAATTAAAATCCTAGAACCCATATAAAAGACCCAAGACTGGTGGCTAATGCTTATAATCCTAGTACTAGGGAAATAGGAAAATGCTTGGGGTGAGGTCAATGGCCATTGAGCCACAAGTTCCAAACCTGTGAAAAGATGCTACTTGGGGAAGGGAGAGAGAAAAAAGAATACTTAAATTGTCCAAAAATAAAACAAGGACAAGGCCAGGCATGGTGGTGCATGCCTTTAGTCCCAGCACTGGGGAGGTAGAGGCAGACAGATCTCTGAGTTCAAGGCCATCTCTTATCCTCATCTTTGAAATAGTGCATCAGATTTTTCTGACACCCCACAAACTGAAGTTGAACTCTCACACAGTAGCACACTTGTTTAATTTGCAAGCTGACCATTTTTAATATTATCTTTTTATAAACCTCAATCTACAAATATGCTCTGCAGCCTGTAACTTTAGATCAAAGGATTATTTACAGTACAGACTTAGTTTATTATAGTTGAAAAGATACTGACAGCTGAGGGAAATTAAAATGTCTTCACTGGACATTCTTCTCTAGTATAAAGTAGCTTATTTAGCTCAGTATTTTTAAAAATTGTAGATACATTAAAGGGTTAGAATCATATTTATACATGCTACTTGATATCTGAAGAGTCAGAGGTCAACTGAGTATGAACATTAGACTTCAACCTATTTTAGGATGAGGAACTAGGTCTCACAAATGGATGGAATACAAAGTCCTTAACAACTTTTCAGCCGCTACTTCTGTCCAAAACTTAAACCAGAATTTGGCTTTAGTTTCTACTGGTTAAACACTAAATGTTAAACTTTTCTGAGGTTAATATTTTATAAATGGTAAACCAAAGTGTATGAAAAGCATATCAAAGGACTATGAAAAAAATTAGAATCAGCTAGGTACTAGACTTCAGCCCAAACTTGGACCCAAAGCTTTGTAGCTTTGGTCCTGTTTTATCTGTTTTAGTAATGCTCAAATGCTAGCCTATGGGCCAGTTATAGGAAAATGAAAAAGACAACAAAGATTGAGATTTTCAGCGATTAAGTATTAAACTACTATAATTTATTCTGAGATCTATCATGCTCTTATCATTTGCTCTGTTGTTAAAAAGTAAAAGTAGGGGCTGGAGAGATGGCTCAGCAGTTAAGGGCACTGCCTTCTCTTGCAGAGGATCTGGGTTTGATTCCCAGAATCCACAGGGCAGCTAACAACCATCCATGACTCCAGTTCCAGGGGAATCCAATGCCCTCTTCTGACCTCTTCGTACATCGCACAACATGGGTGCACTCACATATTTTCAGGTAACACACTCATACACACACACACACACACACACACACACACACACACACAT